GTCCCTTCAGATCGGCTTTAATGCAATCTTCCCACCTTCGCTTCGGTCTACCCCTCGGACGCTTACCATTCGGCACAGCAAATATTAACCTTTTAGGAATTCTCTCGTTACCAAGCCCAACAACTTTACAAGCCCATTTGATTCGCCGCGATGAAATTACATCAATTATATTACCCGGATACAGCTCACGCAATTCGGCGTTGTGTAACCGTCTGAACTCTCCGGTTAACTCATCCTTCTTCGGTCCGAATATTCTACGCAATACTTTATTTTCAAAAACCTTAAGACGCTGCTCATCCCTTAATGTAAGCGGCCAAGTTTCGCATCCATAAAGAACTGTAGGCAAGATAATTGTTTTATAGATTCTAATTTTTAAGTTCCGGGACAAGAGGTGCGAACTAAGTAGTTTTGTCACAGAAAAATAACAAGCATTTCCCGCCTTCAGTCTAACCTTAATCTCTTCTTCAATTTCGTTTTTTCTAGTTATCGTTGAACCTAGATACCTAAATTTATCTACCCGTTCAAACATATTACCATCTATATCGATGTCACCAGTAGTATCGCCATAATAAAAATACTTATTAAATAAAAATTCCTAAAATGAAATATAAATAAATATTGAATCTATAATTATTATTTTCTTTTAGCTTGGTCTGAACATACTTATTTTTGCTTAGAAGAGGGTGGTAAGTGAAAGTTGTGTGATGCGCGCTCCGCACCAGATTTCTTTTCTTGCAGCAGGCTTCAACAATGTCCGATTTTATTTAACAACTTCTTAATTTTGACTTTAAATTAAGTAAAAGATTACTTAGATGGCATTAAAAGCTGAGCTAATTGTCCTAGCGGAATAACGGCCTAATAAAACCAAGAGCTATAAATGCTAATTGGCAGCTAAGCCTCTTTCTGATAGGCGTAATTAAACCAGGAATTATTTACAAGCAACTGCCTTCATCTTAATAGTGTTCAATTATTCTAAATTATTTGTTATGGCTAATTATTAATCTGAAAACATATATGATAATATAAAAGTTAAATATGACTAGGATATTATTTTAATGCCATATTTTTTTCCACTTACTTTATTATTGCATTCAATTTTTATTTATTCTCTCCTAAATATGTAATGTATAACGAACGAAAAAAAATTTCGAATTCAAATTTTTATGGAACAGAAATAATGTATGCGAACAACTATGCTCAAAAACGAAGAATCGAACGAAACAGAAATTTCTTATTACATTTTAATATATGAATATTTTTTTATCATATTCCAACTATGGAGATAGGTACAACTCTTTTAGGAAATCCTCCTCGTTTAATAAGATTTTATGACAAACTCTATTTTTATTTGAAGTAAATTTTGTCTAATTTACATTAAAGCAATCGTTAATTACTTTAATTAAAAATTCCAGATGCCACGACTTACTGACTGAAACAATTAGGCAAAATATCTTAAATCTTCATAATCTGGACGGAAAAGTTAAACTTGAATGGATAAAAGGACATAGCGGGATCGCTGCAAATAGTTCTGCTAAATCTAGCACCCATCTCTATAATCCCTCAAGAAAGTTGAAACGACAGTGGCCTCGCGAGCTTTTGTAGATTGTATATATTGGAGTTCTGGCAATGGTCAGATTCTCCACATGAGTGTATGTGACTAAAGTGCTCTCCATCAATCTCCACTGGCTTTAGTACCAGTGATACGGTTGAGAGAGTAGCACAGAGTTCTCCTGGAGTCCATAGTTGGAGGTACAAGCCTTCCTCGGAGTTCCCTCGCCTGATTGTAAATAGTGTATATAGATATCCATGTGTTGTTGTTTTTTTTGCTTAGTTTTAATTTTCTTATTTTTAGGTTATTCTATTTTATTTACTTTTTGATTATTATTTATTGTTATTTTGTTTCTATTTATTTTATATTTTTTGTACATATAGTACGAATGTTATCCTACCTCACTATAATTTATATCCAAATGACAGATTGTTGTAATTAGTGTTGCCCAAATGCGAGACCGAGACGAGTCTTGGTCTTGCAAACCCAGTCTTGGTCATGGTCTTGGTCTTGCGCAAGAATCTCGCTACAGTCTTGCAGTTACTTATTAGCTTATTACTACAGAGAAATTACTGTAATTCTTGACATAGGAGAAACCTAACTAAGAACGAATGAAACATTAGAGGAGTTAAATGCAAGAATATTTTGGTTATACTAATTCTACACATATATTAAGTTAAGCATTAGTAACTATTTTGCCTTAATTTTTATTTAAAAAATCTACTTTTTTTACCAGTCCTTGTCTTGGTTTTGCAACAGTTAGGCGGTCTTGGTCTTGCAAAGTGCAAGACCAAGACCCATTTTGGGCAACACTGGTTGTTGTAATACTCAATAAATAAATAAAAAATCTAATTTAAAAAAAAATGGAGATAATTGGCCGCTGAAGGGAGAGGACATATTTAAGAACTACATTAAGTAGATGCGTAAATTTACATTTGAAGTTGATCTTCAACCCCTCGACGAAACCTGACTAATTATTATTAGGCCTGATTTTATTATAGTTATCCTTGTATTTATTTATTTTAATATTTTTGTTTTGTTTTCTGTATACTTATTTTTGTTTTTTTCTTATTATTTTTATTTTTTTCTCTTTTGCTCAATTAAGAAAATTATGAAGTTTACCATGGCTATGGTAATTTAAAAATTTATACGATACATGTGATTTTATCAATACATACATGTATTATGCTTAATGCACGTAATATGTTATAATTTAACAAATAAACGGCCTTATATAAATTTACTGTATAAAGGAAGAAGATAAAAAAAAATTAATTAAATATTTCTTTTGTTATCGCTTCCTCCTATTCAACATAAAACATGACTTAGTTAACATAAAACATTCAACTTAAATTTCCTACTTGCCGAAAATCGGACCAATGTTTATATGAACTTGAATGAAAATACCAATTTGAAGTTATTTAAGGAAACGAAGTTGAGACAAAAGCTTTTGAAGTTTAAAATTCATTTCTCAATCAGGGCGCCTATCCAATCTCCTATCGATCCAATATCCGCTGGATAATATCAGAACTGAATTAACTTCTAAATAGGATGGACGATTTTTTTTTTATTGGCAAAAACACCATATTTTAATAAAGTACAATATATTCAACAGTCTTTTTATAATTCTTTAAAAATGTTAATTATTTTGGTTCTTTTATACTTTAAACACCCCAGTGAATTTTTTTCCTTCACTATAGTGATTTTCACAATTATGAACAACAGGACCTTAAACATATGACTAGAAAGTAAACCTAACCTAGAAAAGAATGAAATGTGTCGTTATAAATATGAATTTATTAAATGTGCAGGAGGATAAATACATTATTTATTCACTTTTCTAAAGTAATGGAATTTTTAATACAATAAAATTGTTTCAAAAGTATCCTAATTTTGCTTTAATTTAATTCTTTCTGGATTTGAAGTAACCTTTAAATGAACTATTCGTTTCATACATTTAATAAATAAAACAGATATTTGTAGTATCAACTATGAATCCCGTAACATTTAACAGTCGTGCTTTACTGGTGTGTTTATAGTAGAAAAGACTAATTAGCAATTATTTATATGAGTACGTCACGGTTTAGGCGATCTTCACAATCACTTCGGTCACACTTGTTCATGAAACGCCGAAAATAGTCTTTCGGATAAACCCGAATGTATTCTTTGACCGAATGATTTATATTTTACCATTTTACATAATTTTAAGTTTCTTGGCAAGGTTTCAAGAGTTTTGTTTATAGATTTATTTTATTTTATTTTGTACATAGAATGTATAACTAATATTTTCTTTACATATTTATCTTTACCTTTACTTTTTATGTTGGTTTTTATGTGGCCAGATATAACATTTTAATTTTGTACTTTTTTGTTATTCTAAAGGGACTCCGTCCAAGAATAATATTATTTTCTATTCTATTATATTCGGTACGCTCCGTAATCCGTGCGGTCCTTTTTTAAATAATTACCAATTTAATAATTAAAAGTTGTCGATTATGAACAACAGGACCTTAAACATATGACTAGAAAGTAAACCTAACCTAGAAAAGAATGAAATGTGTCGTTATAAATATGAATTTATTAAATGTGCAGGAGGATAAATACATTATTTATTCACTTTTCTAAAGGAATGAAATTTTTAATACAATAAAAATTGTTTCAAAAGTTTGTTTCAAATAGTTGTATAATTATAAATTGTAATGTACAGGATGAAATAATTTTATTTTTATTATATATCAAACTCACTTCTTTGAACTTTAGACTCCACTTGCTTGTGCCAGTTCGAACATATCACTTTTTACTCAGTATTGTACCAGCTCTGTGCCGATTCAATTCTCAACAATTATTAAAGTTGTGCCTTATGGAAGAACTTTTTTTTAAATGAATTATTTTTTTCTTCTTATGAATTACTTTTTTAAACTATGGAAGAAACGAACGAAAAAGTCTCTTTGCAATTTTCAATAATGTATATTGATATGATATTTTAATAAATAAAAATTCCTTGTTAAATTAAATGATTCTCAGTGAACGCAATTATTTTATGTTATATAATTATAAATTAAAATTTACACTATACAATTATTTATTTTCATATAAACTCAGAGCTTTGAACTTTATACTTTGCCTGTCTGGGCATGTTCGAACACTGTACTTCCTACTCAGTGTAGTCTCTCCGTACTGCAACAATTATTAAAGTAAGTCGATATAAAAGAAGTTTTTAAAAAAATTAATTGCGTTTTTAAACTATCGGGGAAACGAAATAAAAAGATTTACTAATATGAACAATACTATTATTCTAAAGGGAACTAGTCCCAGAATAAAGATGATTTTTCTATTTCAATGACTGAAATTCCTGACTATTTTTAATTCTTACAATTATAACATTCAACTGTAAATTAATTTATTACATCACTCATATCATCTTATTGATGTTCAGTTGGGCAGATTATATTTAGGCACAGTGTAACCATCGCGTTCTGTTCGAATTGATTCCCCCTCGGAGAAGTTGGGAAGCCGTTGTGTTGAGATACCAATTAACTTCAGAGAGGGCCCAATATGCCGACGAGGTCCCTATTGAAGCCTTGAAGTTGGGACCGATTCCTCCGGTTCCTCCTTTCTCCAGCCCTTCCAGGGCATGCCTTTGTAGAAGAAGCAGCCAACCCGAACCAGGCGCCTTTGAGCATCTACTTGGGCGAAGTTGGTCGAGATATGAAGACCACGGTTCAAGTTTCCTAGAGAGAGGGAGGAGGGAGAGAGAGAGGGAGCGAGAGAGAGATAGAGAGAGAGACAGAGGGAGAAAGTGGGAGGAAGCAGAAGAGACAGAAGTTGGCAAGTGGGGACTTAGGTAGGCCCGTTTGAGCCAATTGCCTCCCAAGTTCGGACATAAAGGCTCGAATACTAATATTCTGTTGAAGTTTTTCATCCTCCTCCCCGCTCCATCTATAAAATATTTAATCCTTTCCGCTCTCTCGCTTTCCCATCCCGTCTCTTTTATTCTTCAATGCCTGAAAAATTTTCTTTTTTTTATTTTCTTCTCCGTATGTAAAAAGAACGCGAGAAACCCTTTAATAATATGTTACAGTGTATTGCAACATTTATAACATATATTTAAATTTTAAAAATCTGATTTCGGTTTTATCTTGTATTAATTATGCAAATAAATTAATTTATTGATTTTGTGGAGAGTGAATTACATATAGCCGTCAGATCATCATGTAGTTGACTAATTGAAGTGTTTTCGCATATGGATTCAAATATATGAAAAACTAAAAATCATACCTGCTTATCATTAGCTAGAAAAATGTTCATAATTTTATCCTTTTTGTAATGAGCAATTATTCAATATTGTATCTTAACGCAAGGTCTTGTGTGGCTAAATCAGAAAAATAGTGTCTAAAACTAAATGATAACGAGTTTTATTGAAGATTAGTAGGCCCGTCCGAAAAATTCGCACAGCATATTGTTAAGTGATCAAATGCCAAATTTATAAGAAAATAAAACAATACAACGGATTAAAATAAAAAGAAATCAATCGTTACTGTATCGTTAAATACAATCGACAACGGAAACAAAACTTTATTAATGTTTCGATCCAACATTTTTACAAATTTCAATCAGCTGTATCTTTGCTTAAAATTATCCGATTTCGATGATTATTTTTTATTTTTTTTTTTTAAAGGAAATTTAGTAATATTTTATTAAATCATGGGCATAACCAACGGGAATTTGTGTAATTTTTTAAAGTTTCTTTCTTTATAACTTGTTTGTCTGAATTTTCGGCGTTATTGGACTATTTTGCCCGCCTGAAGGAGAAGGAAGCCTTCGAAATTTGTGGCTCAATCATGAGATTTAGTGAAGAGTTAACGATGATATGGCTTGCCGATCAAAAATACCATCGATGAATTATCAAAACTCCTCCTCCCTCGATGATAGAGGCCTCAAGTCGACGAAATGAGACATGTATTCAATGACAGTACTACAATTAATGTAAGGTTGTGAACCCTATGCCTTGGCGTTATCTCGAATATAGTACGTTTTTGGGCTTAAAAACGCAGGATCCGATAGTTCCGGGTCTTGCTGTACGCATCAAAATCTTCAAGATCTAATTTGTCCCGTATCGATCTGCAGACATACCACCGTTACAGTATTGAAGTCTTGCAAAATGTTTGTATCTTATTTATTTATATAAGAAAGAAAAACCAAAACGGAGAATACGATTCTCTAACCCCCCGTCAAATCCAACGATACCCCATTCATGGTATTTGAGCATGACATGAGCTTATATCTTGTACAAAACAGATTTTGAGCCTTACTGTAATAATAAATGTGGGGGTATGGATTAAAATATCTCAGAAATTAAAAATCGGACCTTCTTAGATATTTATATATTATATATAATTTATATTTCATATTATTTATCTCGCTGTGTTGATGTTTTCACTTGTATCCAGTGATCCTTATTTTTGTTACTATTTTCTTTAACCAAGTTACTTTTTGGTTCCAGGAGTATGAACGGTAGCGGGGGGCAGAATGTCCAAGACCAACCTGATCCTGACTTCATCAAGATGTTCGTCGGCCAGGTGCCGAGGAGTATGGACGAAGCCGACCTCACCAAAATGTTCTCCGAGTTCGGGAGGGTCCACCAGATCAACGTACTCAGGGACAAAGTGACGGGACAGAGCAAAGGTAAGATACCATTATCAAAACTCCCTTATGTTTTTGTGATTATTGATAAATTATTATTTAATTATTTTGTAACGATTCTCTAAAAGTATATTTTCTTCATTTTGTTTACTCAACGACAGTAAAATATCAACTTAAATTAATTACAGTAAGCGCAACGGTAATATGGACATAGCTAAGAAAATTTTTGTCTTTTTTTATTGATCCCGCCGTAATTATTATAGTTATATACTTCTCCGTTGGACTTTTAGAATCTCTAGGGTCTCTTATAGGTGAAAGTTTTTAATCATACCTTAATTAATTATTAATCAACTTAATCATACGTGCTACCTCATTTGGGAATTCTCTACTAACCCTCTTTTGGGAAATCCTCATCCTTGACCTCATTTAAACATAAATTATTTTTCCATCTCCTTTGTAATCAATCTTGCGAATATATGTAAAATAAAGTTATTTTGTACTTTAGAGATCAATATCTTGCAGATATTTATGTATGTGTCATATTGTTTATTTGTACAAATACGTGAACTCACCCATTTGTAATCATCTTTGAATTCATATGTCTACTTTAATAGCATATGTCTACTTTAATAGCATATGTTTACTAGAGTGTTTTTATTTTTAATCCCATATATTATTTCTAAAAGGTGTTTTTTTTTTTGTCGGTACACCACAACTTCGTCAATTCTTCATCAAATTCAATGATTGACCATTTTACTCATATTCACTCATATACTCATTTCAAAGATATTCTTCTCCATCACATGCGAAAAACAGTCCTATCCCCTCCCCCCCCCCCCGAAATGTCTGGAAAAAAGTTATGAAGGAAAAGAAACTTTATTTGTGAATAACACAAAAAGAATGCATTTTTTTTTTTCTGGATTGTACCCATAATAATTAGAAAGATTATTAAATTATCTCCAAAAAAAAATCGTAAAAATCGGACCATTATTAACAAAGATACAGTCCATTAGTTTTGGTATACTTAATAATGTCTTCCTCTTTAAAGATATTGCATTTAAGAGTAGAATAGTCTATTAAACTTTGTTTTCCTGGCAGATATATTAACTTTAATATTCCTTAAAGACATTTGGTTGTTCTTAATTTTATTTTTTTTTAATAATTTAGAAAATCCCATGATCGGGGCATTATATTGTCTTTATTACTTTTATTATCTTTCCAATCAGCGTTAAAAAATAGGTCCTAGCAAAGCAGTTTGTACAAATGTTTTTGTTTATTATGTTAAATGGAATATTGTAATCGACCAAGGAAAAAATATTAATTCTTTCCTCTCATAATACATAGGATCTACTTATTTCCATATTGTTTTGCTATTTTTTCACTAAACAAAATTTTCTGCGAATTATTCGCACGGCCCGACTAGTATTAAGAATTTTTAATATTATGAAAAATTTACGTGTTTCTTTATTTTAATATTCAGGTTAGACAACTTTGTTAAATTAATTTATTATTCATAAATTAAAATTATAAATTAATTGTCATTTAATTATTCACAATCGCCAGACAATTGCCATTTCTTTGTTCATTGTAGTTATTCTGAGGGGGACTAAATCTCCCTGACTAAAATTTACTTTATTTAACTCTTTAAAATTGAAAAAAAATATTCAGTTATGCAGGTATAATCTCTATTTATCTAGACACCTATCCAGGCACGTAAACTTCTCTGTGTGTTCATACATATTCCCTTCTATATTGATATCACCTACATTGTCGCCATTTTTACAGTTAATCCTATATTTAGTCTTATTCATATTTATTTCGAGCCCTAGTTCTTTTCAGGATTTCATTAACGATGTCGTATTTAGATTTATAGTTTCTGATTTAGTCCTGTTAAGTGATAATACGGATTCTCTTAACAGGACAAAATTATCCGCATAGCCAATCACGGATGTTTCTCCAAGATTTAATCCTTCTTCTGTACGCAATACCTAAATGCAATACGGACCTAGTTTTGATCTCGGTGGTGGTCTTGCTCAATAGTCTTGCAATTACCTATTAGTTGGTTACTATAGAGATTTTACTGTAATTTTCCAGGTATATGAAACCTAACTAAGGCCAATAGAAATTTGGAAGAGTTCAAAGCAAAAGTATTTTGTTAATACCAATTCTTTACGTATAGTAACTAAAATTGTCGAGTATTAGTTACTATTTTGCCTTAATTTTCATCCACAAAAACGATTTTTTGTTTACCAGTCTTGCTCTTGGTCTTGCAAAGTGCAAGACCAAGACCGATTTTGGGCAACACTAAATGGCATGTTGTGATGCCAAAATAAATTGTACAGTTAATGTAAATTGGCTTGTCTTAAACCTGAACGATTTGTTTTAAAACCTTAAACAGGCCTAATAAAATATATTTATTCAAAGTAAAGGTAAAGACTTAAGTATATTCTAAGAAAACCTCGCACAGATTTTATTGAACAGGGGGTGTGTGCAGTACGGATTTAACAATGGCAGTACAAGTAATTTTATAACAATTTCAAGTAGAGTAATCCGTTTTTCCCCAACATGGTCTCCGAATTAAGCCGCGGGTAGGGATAAAAGAAGATGGGGATTGAAAAAAGAGAAACTCAATTATTTCGATCCGGATTATCCACCGGGTTGGGGGTTATTGTATTTCCCTCCTGTACACTGGCTGGGGGGGGGGCGGGGGTCGGCGAGGGATGAATTGAAAATGGGGTCCTGAAGTTTTGGAAAATATTTATGTTTTGACAAGAGGAAGTGGGGCCCTGTTTCCAATTAATCCACTCCTAACAGGAAGGAAAACAATGGCAGTTTAGCAAAACAAACACCATGCGATGGCAGCGCCTGTTGCTGTTCGGGTCTTCTATTATCTATTAGCCTCTCGCCGATGGGAAATTGCTTTCGTTCCTCGAGAGGTCATTGCGTCGAGGTGTTGACCCGTGGCGCCATCTAGTTCTGTTGTAAAACAATTTGCGAAAAAAATTCTTTTCGATTATCGGAAGCGATGAATTTTAATGAATGAAACACCATACGGGAGGAAATTCCATGTAGAATCGAAGAATTTAGACTCTTAAATTCTTACAACAACTTTAATAAAAATAATCAATAAAATTGAGAGTTAGTGAAAATAATCAAATTGTATAATAATTCCTCAGTATAGATAGATAGATAGATAGAAAAAAACGCTGCAAATTATTTCACACTGCTTTATTATTTCCAAACAATTATACATCTAAAGTAACATTACCTTCCGAGTTACAAAGAAAAAACAAAACAAAAGGGGATTCCAATTATTTGACTAAACTGTTTTTCTTTAATCATTAGTAATATGCTAAAAAAAAATAGCATTAGTTCAGTAACACATTCAAAATTCAAAAACCAAACCAAGCATATAACATTTGGAGTAGAACATATAAAAAAAAAACGGAGACCATATCTTTGCCTCTAATTGTCCGATTTTAACGATTTTTTTTTTTTTAGGAACAATATCAACAAAAAAGTAAAAACTTTTCGAGTTATTCGGAATTTAATTTTACCATCCCTCGTAACTTTTTTTCCAGCTTCTTTTCGTTGAAGTATGTTATATAGATAAATTTAGAGGGCGTCGAGAAAATGACTTTACCGAAGTTTCATTGAAATCTGTACATTCGTTTAGGAGCTACAGTCTATAGCAACACAGGTTTTTCGGCCGCCATTTTGAAAGTTAAAGGCGGGGAGTAATGTCGATGAAGGAGGATCATCCTCGCGTGAACTCTGATTTTATATCAGAATTTGAAAAAAATCGGTCCAGTAGTTTCGGAGAAACGTGAAACCTCAAATTGTGAGAGGGGGTTAAGTTTTTGAATTTTTTGGTCGATCACAATGGTTGATTATTGAAAATGATAAACCAAAACCTTATTCTGGGACTTTAGAATAACAAAATTGTAAAAAGGAATAGAATACTACTGGCCTAAAAGTAAGTTAGAAACAATAAGTAAAATTTATAAAATAAACTAAAAAGTAAAGAAAACCTTAGGTGAACAAGCTATATACAATACAGATAAAACTATGTACAAAACATTTAGAACTATGAACAAAACACTTAAAACTATGAACAAATCACTTTAAACTATGAACAAAACTATATATAACGGTTGAATAACATAAACATACACTTTGAGAAATGAAGAACGAAAAAGATATAGAATAAGTTAATTTCATAAAAAAAACTTACTTGTATATATATATATTTTTTTTTTTAAAAAAGTTAGTTATAATTGAATAAAAAAAAATGTTGAAAAAGAAATAGTTGTATTGAAATTCCTACGTTGATAGTAGGAAATGCATGTACTATCTCTTACAAAGTATTATCGTATTGCCACACAATACATATATGGTATTAATAGTTAGCTGGTATCTGACTGTTTTTGGAACAGGAATTTTTGAATGGAATAGGAGGTTTTTGAATGCGTATAGGGAGGGGGCATGCCGAATTTTGATCGGAAGGGAATTCCAAAAGTTGACAGAGCGGGCTATAAAGGAGTTTTGGAATGAGGAAGATCTATGAGAAGGGATGTCTAGGTCAGAAGGTCTAGATCTTATGGTGAGGGAATGGATTGAGGACTTAAATTGGAGAAGGTTGTAGGCTAAGAAGGACGATGATCGGTAATGATTTGATAAAGGAAAGTGCCAAGGAAATATTGTCTTCTTAAGGAGGTGAAGAGCCACCCTAACTCAGTGTAGTGGTGGGAGACACGGGAGCGTCTCGGGGTCCCAATTACAAATCTTACGAAGCTATTCATTAGTCTTTTTAGTCTATCACGGAGTTCAACCGAGAGGCCATCGTACATCACAAAGCTGTAGTAAAAGTGGGGAATATTCATAAGTGACCAAATAAATATTTCCAATCGCAATATTTACGTTTATAATAAATATTATTTAAATATAATATTATACTAGTAGGCACGTGCGAAAAATTCGCACATCATATTGTTTTCAAATGCCAAATTAATAAGAAAATAAAATAATGCAACGTATTTGTAAATTGGTTTAACTGAGATACTTTTGCATTTAACTTTTTTAATTTTTCATTCGAGCTTAGTTAGGTTTCTTCTATCTAAAAAAATCCAGTTATATCGCTTTAGTAATAAGCTAATAGGAAACTGCAAGACTTTTGTGAGACTCTTGCGCAAGACCAAGACCAAGACTTGTATTAGTCTCGCATTTGGGCACCACTACTTAGGAACGGTTATAAGTACTTTTTTTAAAATGTTGATGATTGAATATAATCATTGCATTAGTCCTGCAAAGTAATGGTTAAAAAGCCAACCGCGTTTCGTTTTTCTAGTTCGATCTCGGACATAAGCGTAAGTGGAATTCGGGTGGATGGAGTGGGGGGGGGGGCTGGCCGTAAGTTAACTTGGAGAGAGTTAAGCCCGACCGGATCGAGAGCAAATCCGATTATGTAGAGTTGGCCGAGGAAGGAACAACATGTTCCCACTCGGGGTTAGCGAGTGTCGGATTTATGGCTGGTCGGGGGTGGCGAAGTGTAGGGGGTGGCGAAGTAGGGGGTCTGGAGGGTATGGTAATTCTATCGATTGTCTTCTGGGTCCAAGATGGTAACGACTGGTTGAAATCTTTTCGGATCCAGGCAGCAATCGAACATGGGTCGTCTCTGTACAGATTACTGTAAAGTTCAATAGTGAAATAGTTATTTATTATTATTAATAATAATAAAACGGTTAGAGAACCCCGACGTTCGATGGTTATACAACAAATCTCCCCCTATCGGTCACTGTCCGAACCCAACCCGGCTAGAATCAGCATTAACGCTTCCCAGCTTAGCTTTGGTCTTCCCGTCGGCACCTGCGGATCCAGGATTTAATTTTGGAGAGGGGCTTCAGCCCCAAAGATTTTTTTTTCATATACATATGACGATAATTAATTTTAAAAAAAAATAAATTAACTACCTATATGAAAGAGTGTTTAAGTGGTTCTTGAAGCCCAATTAAATGTAATTAAACGAACAAGAATACTTTAAGAGGTTGTTTTTGATATTTTTTTTCTATATATTTTACCATTCTGGGGGGACTTCAGCCCGAAAGCCCCTCTCCCCGTAGATCCACCTGTGCCCCTCGGACATTGCGCCGGAGGTATTCAGTACTAGCGGACCCACTATTTAATTTGGGTGGAGGAACATCAGTCCGACAGCTTTTTTTTTCATATATATAACGATAATTACTTTGAAAAAAAAAGAAGATACTAATTACATATATGAAATGTTGTTTAAGTGATTCTTGAAGTCTTATTAAATGCAATTACACGAACAGTAATACTTTAAGAGATAATTTTTTAATATTTATTCCATAAAACATGGTTATATTTTAACATTCTTTTTTTGGAGAAGGGAGAAGGCTTCAGCCCGAAAGCACTCCCCTCCTCCCGTAGATCCGCCTGTGGTATTCAGAAATGTTAACAAACATTAATTCTACGAAAGTAAAGTCAGACAGTGGCTGTAATAATCTGCTTGTTTATTATTGATATAGACATCTCAATGAAGGTTTTTCAAATAGTCAGAAGGAATCGGAAAATTCGCAGTAGGAAAAAATGTAGTAGAATTAATTTTGCACTATTCTAATTATCTAAAATTAGAAATGAAGAGAAGAATAGTTGGGGTGAGCAGTCAAATAAGAAGGCAAAAATAAATGACACTATTCATTTTGACATTATCCGACGTTCAGGCCATCATCAGGGCTAAGAAAAAGAACCAGATAACAAGGTATGAGAAACGTAAGTAGTGTAGGTAAAACAAAAAAAAAAAAATTATAATGAAACTAAATTAAAATTTTAACACCTGCATTTTAATTTTTTTTTTTTTTTACTTACACTACTTATGTGTCTCATACCTTGTTATCTGGTTCTTTTTCTTAGCCCTGATGATGGCATGAACTTCAGGTCGAAACGTCGGCTAATGTCAAAATAAATATTATCATTTATTTTGCCTTCTTATTTGACTGATCACCCCAACTATTCTTCTCTTCATTATTCACGATAGTATACCATTTACCAATTATAAAATTTGAAATGGTTCCTGATAAATTAAAGAATTTTTTTTTCTTAATCGACATGTATTTTTATCCTGTAAAAATGGAAAAGAAGTTAAAAAGAAATATTAAATTACCAATCAGTCAAAAATTAAATTATTAGTTAGCCTAATCCAGTCGCATTTGCATTCGTTTTTCAATACTTGAATCAAACTTTCCTGTATACAATTTATTTTAGGGTCCTGAAAATCTGGCCCTAGTTAGTTTAGATGTATATCTTTGAATATTGAATGGGCATTGGTAATTTTAATCCAAAGAACTTAAAAAATAGCATTATTTCCACTTGTTTTGACATTTGGGACCACTGTTCGTCTTGGCAAGATACGTTAACTACAATTCCCACTTTGTGGGTAATAATAATTTTTAGAGAAAAACTTTGTTATCTTCGAAAAACTTGAATTTCTAAAATGCCCTTAATAGAACATTACAAACACACAAATTTCGGAATACATTACTTAGCCATTATTATTCACACTATAATAATAAAAGGTTTAGCGGACCCGAAGGTTTAATGCCGACACCACCAATCGCTATTATTATATTGAGGTAAGAATTTGTGTCACTGAAAAATAACAGGAATTTCTCGCCTTTAAGCTAACCTTAATTAATCTCCTCTTATATTTCGTTATTTTTTTTAACGTATTATAGATCCTAAACACTCAATATTCTCTTCAAAATAAAAAGTTATAAAGAAGAGAACTTTTTAGTTTTCTTGTTAATTGTTATTACTTCCACAAACTTAGGACATCCTTATAGAAATTAGTGTTACCCAAAATCGGTCTTGGTCTTGCACATTACAAGACCAAGACCAAGACGGACTAACTGTTACAAGATCAAGGTCAAGAATTTTAATAAAAATTAAGGCAACATAGTTACTAATACTTAACAATTTCAGTTACTACATGTAAAGAGTTTGTCTAACCAATCTACTTTTGCGTTTAACTCTTCTAATTTTTCATCCGTGCTTGGTTCGGTTTCTCCTATTTAAAAAATTACAGTAATATTTCTATAGTGATAAGCTAATAGGTAACTGCAAGACTACTGTTGCGAGACTCATGCACAAGACCAAGACCAAGATCACGACAGAGTGTGCAAGACCAAGACTCGCCTTTGTCTCGTATTTGGGCAATACTAATATAAATGCAACAAATACACCTATTCAAAGCGATCTACCAAGCAGGAAGGTCGAGATATATTCCGTGCATCCGCCACGCATAAATTATATATATATATATATATATATATATATATATATATATATATATATATATATATATATATATATATATATATATATATATATATATATATATATATTAAGGTTAGCAAGCAGTACTGTGTACACTTTTCCATCCAAATTTGGAAGAAAATTGTTTTGGAAGTATTGTGAATTCGAATTCCACTCCAGCTTCCGTAAACAGACCTGAAATACTGACTAAATAAACCTCACAAGGAAGGAACTAGAAATATTTTATGCCTGCTCGACAACCCTTGCGCAATCATTACATCCTTTTTTATCCTCACCGGATATTTTTTTTTCGTGGCGTTGTTTTATCCATGGTTTATTTATTTTTTTAAAGTTTGTTTCCTGGCTAATTCCTCTCCTATATTTTTTTTAACGATCTAGCGATTAAGTCAGTGACCCAGATTTTAGACGAGATTCCTGCCGACAGGGTTAAAGTCTAAAAACTTTGTAATGTAACGATTTAATAATTTTTATATAAATATGTTATTTTGTTTTAAAAAAAGTTAATTAATATTAGAAAATTTACAACCATTATTAAATTATATCACATATTTATTTATTTTTAACGTTTAAGCCTTATTTTGACCATTTTCAAATATGACCGTCTTGATATAATAATTTTCTTTATTGATTTTTGATTTTTTTATATTGCGTATAAACAATATTGATATTGACCACTAGTGGATCCAGGATTTAATTTTGGGGGGGGCCTCAGCCCGAACGATTTTTTTTCATATACACATAACGATAATTAATTTGAAAAAAAGAAATTAATTAATTATCTATATGTAATGATGTTTAAATGGTTCTTGAAGTCCTATTAAATATAATTACACAAACAAGAATATGTTAAGGGATAGTTTTTAATATTTTTTTCTGTAAAGCATGGTTACATTTTACCATTTTGGGAGAGCTTCTGCCCGAAAGCTCCCTCCCCTCCCCCCCCCCCGTAGATCCGCCTGTGATATTGACAATGATTAAAATAATTTTGAGTAATTTTTTTCGACAAAATCGTTTTTTAAATATCCAATTAGCTATTTTTTTATTATTAGTTCAGAGCATCATTAGCAAATTTAATATAATACATTGACTCACAATGAAATTGATACACCCCATAGAAAAAATACTTAAATGGTTATAGTAAAAAAAAATGATTGATCTTATTTTAAATTTATAAAAACTCAATAAAATTAAATATTTAACTGTGATTATTTTTATAAAGCTAGATAATTTTACCTCATAGTCAAACCTGATAAACCTCACTTCTTATTAACTGTTAAATACTATTAATTTAGTTCAACACCTTGTAGGCAAGCCATTATTTTTTAACACTCTTTTCAGTCTGTAATGGAGTCGACCAATTTTTAGGTGATTCCTAATATTTTCTTAAGCCGCCTTTTTTATCGATTTTGTGATTAACGATTCTTCGCTTCAAGTATAAATCAAATGACTGTTCATACATTTTTCTATCTATAGGTTGCAAACACCACAATTCATTATTTTTCGTAAATGTTCGCAAAAGTTGTAGGAAACAATAAAACGAAATCATTCATGAAATTTTCGACGTTCAAAGTTCTCCAGCCATGTTAGAATTGTTAGATTATGAAATTACAATTTCTTACTAACAGTCAATTGATAAGAGCTATTCTAGTTTTAATATTTTTTTTTTTTGTAATTTGTATATTTGTATTATTTCTACATGACAGACTGATGTACATATTTTTTTAACCCTGGTCTTATTCTTAGACGATTTTAGTCGCAAAAAAAAATTATTTTTCATTATATTTATAATACAATCTGTATATTAAGTACAAGAGTTATCGATAATATATATTTCCCTCTTCTATATTCCCCAACTTTCCCTCACTCTATCTAAACAACCACCCCATCACCTTCTATCCCTTTGTTAAAAATTTAGGCTTTCTCATAGATCAAACCCTTTCCTGGAATCACCATATTTCTCATATATCCCCCCGTGCAATTTCTACCCTCAAACTATTCCATCACTTCCACCATCTTCTAGCCCAAAATACCCTTAGACTCCTAGTTTCCTCTCTCATCTTTCCCCACTTTGACTACAGCTGTGTGTTGTACGATGGCCTCTCGGTGGAACTCCGTGATAGATTCAAAAGACTTATGAATAGCTTCGTAAGATTTGTAATTGGGACCCCGAGACGCTCCCGTGTCTCCCACCACTACACTGAGTTAGGGTGGCTCTTCCCCTCCTTAAGTAGACAATATTTCCTAGGCACTTTCCTTCATCAAATCATTACCGATCATCGTCCTTCTTATGCCTACAACCTTCTCCAATTTAAGTCCTCAATCGATTCACTCACTACAATA